AAAAAAATAAAAAATAAAAATAAAAATAGCCAAATGGTTTGACCGCTTGAATGGATGGCTCGTTCTGAGTTGAATAAGTTGACGATTTGTCTGCCTGAATCAATAGATTATTAACCAATTCAATGGTTTTTGGTCAAGAACCGAGTTTGAAATAAAACAGAACCAGTTGCTTGAATGGTCTCAGTCCAAATGGTCCAACCACTTAGGTCATTTTTTCTTTTTGTTCTTTTTTTTTTGTATTGTATTAAGAAATTGCACCATAATAGACACTCCACACTACTGCAGCCTGAACAAAACTACTAGGGAAAATCAAAATCTATGTTGATCAGTTTGACATGAACCCCACCAAATAATTATAGGGTTTAGGTCAACATTTAAAGCGGAAGATAGAAGTAAAAGACCTTATTTAATTTCGCTTTATTTTACTATCATATTCAATTCTAATGTATTGGTAGGAGTGTAAGAGACATTAATAAGAAAGAAATATAAAAGATGTTCCACAGGTGACAGCAAATTATGGCCTCCTTTTGAGCATATAATGAGGCCATGACCTCAAGTGGTTGACATAACAGTGGGGCGGGTACAATTGTAAACTGTGTCATGCCATGTGATATATGTGATTTGTTGTCCGTGCAGTGGACATGGCGGAGTGGTTTGCCTGGCTGTACTGTTGGGCATTTGACAAGATTGCACAGCCTTGGGCTACACCCTGAAATCGTGGACTTTGGATGCATTTTGGGACCCCTCTTAACATAGGGCCTGTTTGGTGTGGTTTTTTTTTTTTTTTTTGGAAGATTTTCTAGTAGTTCTGACGGTTAAAAGACTCATTGAGCTTTTGCATGAAGATTTGAGCAGCCTGAAGTTAGTTTGGTGGTATTACATCTTTTTGTGCGAAAATAAAATGCAAAAGAAGAGAAAATATTTCATTTGGAGCTCTCTAAAATCAGCCCAAATTGAGCTTTTTGTGTCTTTTTGGCACTTTGGCTTTTGGCGGCTAAATCTTCCACAAACCAAATGGGAATAGATCGAAAAGTGGTCTACCCAACTTGTAAACAGCCAAAAGACCGTGCAAAAAGATACACCAAACGGGCCCATAATTTCATTCAACTCAAGATGGCCGCATCCATACATTAAGGTTCTTGCAAGGCTATACCAACATAGGATGCAAATGGATCCGATTAGATTCCAATTTTGAATCGGGTATAAATAGATTAGGGGTAAAATATAAAAACCTCCCCTAGGTTTTCTAACAATCATATAAACCTCTCATATACTTTGGTCCTAACAAAATCATCCTCTAAACTTTTAAATAAATGTGCAAATACCTTCTTTTTCTTAGTTTTAGTGACGAAAAAAGTTGAGCTATTGTATTAATATTTTAAAATGCCAGGTTCACCCTTATTTTCGACTACCCTGTCTCTAGTGAGCTCATTGGTTGCTTTCTTATGGATAGAGTGAGAAATCACAAATATTGAATTAACGAATGCAAATAATAGTAATTGCTCATTTATTTGACCCGTTTGTTTACAAATGTCTCACTTACCCAGGTAAATGTTTATTGGGTAACACTTACCCATGTTCTTTTGATTCTTAAGTAAGTAACGTAACAACTTTTTGAACTATAAAAAGCTAATGTTAAAATGGACAAACATGTCCCATTATGTTTTATAAATTTTTCCCCCAAGTGAGAAAATTATATACCCACCTAAGGGAAAGGGTAAGTTTTACTGGGGTAAATGAAACTCTATTTATCATGGGGCCCATTATTTGTTGCAAAATGAACATTGTAAAATTGGTCAATGGAAAAGAGATACCCATTTACCAACTCCCTCCTTTATCGGTAAACAAATGGAGCCTAAAAGGAGGCATGAAAATGTCCAAAATATCTATACAATTACTTTTGGCCAAAATATTTATTTGCCAAATTATCTTTAGATGAATTGCTAGCCTAAACCTTTCCAAACTATTTTCTGAAATTGATTTATTTTCCAAATCTTCCCTTCATACCAATCACTCGAAGGTAAATCTACAACTTTAAATTCACTTTTTTAGTTGTTTATAAAGTTTGTATTATTTTTATGTAGGAACCAGTCTCATAGTAACTAATTAATTGCATGGGTATTTGGGACATTTTCCATGACTCTTGTTATAAGATATTAAGTTTTTAATAGAAGGGGTTTAATTGCAACTGTGCCAATAAGTTCAAGGGAGGTGTTGCAATTAGCAAACTTTAGGGGAGGTTTCAACTGTGGCCAGAAATATTAGAGGAAGTTTCAACAATTTACTCAAAAATAATTAAAGCAATCTGATTCAAGGTTCAAAATTTCGATACGATACACCCTGTATTGAGAATATCATATCATATCTTTTGGGTCCCGATACACATGTTTACATGGGACCCCACTTTTTAATAAAAAATACCTATTTTTAACTCCTCAAAAACCAATTTTTGAAAAAAAAATCCCATATAAATCTAAATACCGAGATACACARAAACGTATCGATATTTTAAGCCTTGATCTGAATATGCTTTTACTAGGACCTTTAGACCCTTTTTCTTAGTTATAAACAGGGTCTTTAACAATTCAATCCCATCGAAAAGATAAGGAAAGCTAATATAAAATAACAACCTCGTACACTTACATCGATTACTTTTAAGTAAATCTGCTAGAGACTTCAAAATTATAATAAGAGCTTCACAAATTGATGCATTCCATGGCATAAACATAAGGTCATCTTTATACATTAAAGAAAAACATAAGATCATCATATGTTACCCAATACGACTTACTGGCCATTGTTGTATTCTTTTTTTAATTCTTAATGTGTATTAATTAAAAGCTTAATTGATCATTAATATTTACATATTTTTATGTATTACATATATTAATAGTATATGCCTTAATTCTTGGTAGACCAATATTATTCTTATTAGTTGGGGTAAGGCATTCATTAAGATGATGTTTGGTTTCTTAATAGTTCATACTTCATGTAAACTATCTTCTTTTTAAGCTTTATTATTATTATTATTATTATTTATGTCATTCGATCTAAACTATCAAAACATGTATTTCTTATATGTATATATGATGTGTTTTTTTAGCAGATTTATTCTTTATATAACCCGTATCCTAATTTGACTGGGACAGTGGACAGGCTGCCCCATTGCGTAACCCCCATAAAAAATTGGCTTTTAATACTCTCAATGTTTTAAATACTTTGAACCGTTGTTGGGCATTGGATCTGACCCATCTTTTGAGAAGATCCGACCCATTTTCACAATGTCGTCAAGTTTATTTGATGTATTATTTGTCCTTGTGTTTCTCAATTTTGTATTATTTTTTTATAACCCAAATTTGTATTTTTTTTTTTGTAATGTAATAGAATGTTGCACTATAAGTCTATAATGCAGCCAGGACAAAACGACATAGGAAAAACCAAAAATCTTTCTTGGTCGGCTTGACATGAACCCCCACAAGGTAATTATGAGGTTTTGGTCAACATGCAACCAAACTCATTTCCTTTATTTTACTACAAATTCACAACCCATTAGGCATTATCCATGTCTACAGTCTATTTCTCCCTTCACATGATTCTTTGAGACATTAACAGGAAGGAACTTAGATATGGAATCCCAAACCCTAGTCATTCCTTATTGTCTTTTTTATTTTTTTCTTAGAAAAACGAAGTGGTTGGCATAACAGTGGGCGGCAACAGGTACCATGTTAACTGTGTAATGTGATATGTTTGAATTGCTGTGTTATGGATATGGTAGAATATGGAATCCAAAACTAGGGGTGAGCAAAAAAATCCAAAAAATTGAATTAATAAAAAAATTGATTGAAATTGAATAAAAAAATTGATTAATTGAATTGATCAATTTGGTTTTAGTTTGATGTTTTTAAAAAACCGAAGGTATTGGTTCGACTCAGTTAATCAATATAGAAAATTGGTAGTTAACCGAACCGATTGGTATACATATATTTTTATATATTATAAATTAATAAATATGCATTATATATATAAATATATAAATATATAAATATAATTTTTATTATATATTTTATAATATATATTGTTAAAATTAAAAAGACAAAAAACTGACGAACCGAACCGACGATTAACCAAACCGGTCAATCGGTTGATCGATAAGTTTTGGTTTGGTTTCAATTACCGATTTTCCGAAAACCAATACTACCGATTCAGTTACAAAAATGCCCTCGAACCGTGAACACCCCTACCCAAAACCCTCTCTCTCTCTTTCTCTCTCCAGACCTGCATCATAAACAAAATAATGATGTAAGTGCCTAGTTGTAGGTCTATTGATAAAAAGAAATTAAAGTCACCTGTTTATACTTTTGGAAAGGTCCGTCGGGATACTTTATACCATTTCTTTTTTTCTTAGGCTATGTTTGGTTTGAAGGAAAAGGTAGGGAAAGACAAGAAAATCTATACAAAGTTTGTAAAAGTTTTTTTACCTTTCTTTTCTCTACCTTTTCCTTCAAACCAAACAAACCTTAAGGAAAAATTAATATAAAATGCCATCTTCATAAACTTATAACAGAGATCTGCTAAAAGGCTCATAGTATAAAAAATCACTAAATTAACAGAACTTCAATATTATGATAAGAGCTTCACACGTTTATGCATGCATTCCACTGCATAAACATAATAAAACCGTATGGTGCCAAGATGCATTTCTCATTGGCCCCTTTGTATTTTTTATTCTGATATCCTCCTTTTTCAGCCTTTATGAGTAATTCTTGGGGTGGCAGATTTCACCAAAAAAAAGTCATCAAACAATTGTACCATGCTGGTACAGCCTAAGAGAATGGCACTTGAAAACCCATTTCAAGTTGTAAATCCCACCAACCCCACCACGGTGTGCACACATTATCACAAAACTCATTGTCATTGAAGTCATTTTCAATCTGCTTCTCATCCTTAGGTTTCTTTTCCATTGAATATTTTTTATTAACATCAGTGTTTAGAAATGGAAGATTGCACCACATGCCCCATAGGTCCCCCCTAAGCCGCCCTTGTAGTGAAGACCTCACACTGCTTCTGTCCTTTCCTTATCCACCAGTTTCAAGCTATCAACATCAAATTATCAAAACACCACCAGATAAGTACAGCATTGAGTCCCTCAAGGGGTGGGTGTGGGACTCTATTGTGATTTGTCATTTCTGGCTTTGTAGTTTTGTTTTTGTTTTTCCATCTAACAAAGCAGTTTTTATTCGTTAAAACAACAAGGAAAAAGAAAGAAAGAAAGAAGATGCAACCAGTCTGACAGACAACGCATTTCATCTTCTCATTGCCCACAAGTACCCAACACGCTGCTTTTATTCCTCCATGCACGCCTCTTTCTTTCCCCTTTTTGGATTGCAAAGGTTTTAGGGGCGCTGATTAGCTGATTACTTGTTTGGTTGACGATTTTCGGGGCGCCCAGCCCCGGAGTAAAGCATAAAGGTGTGTTCAGTCATCAGTGTTTCGATTTTGTTTTTCTAATTATTTAGTTTTTTTTTTTTTTTGGTTTTTCTATCATTCCAAGTTAGTTTTCTTGTTTTTATTTTCTGGGTTTTCAGGAAAATGTATTCTGGGATTCATTCGCTTGATGGGAGCGTTGGCCATGAAGATTTACAGGGATCTCTTGAAGGCACTAATCTCCCTGGTGATGCTTGTCTGGTTCTTACTACCGATCCCAAGCCTCGCCTAAGATGGACTGCTGAGCTCCATGAGAGATTCGTAGATGCTGTTACTCAACTGGGTGGCCCTGACAGTGAGTATTGTTCATCTTGCCTGTGTTGTTGATTTTCTCTAATTTCATTATTGTTCTTTTGTTCTTGATGAAATGGCTTGAATTTCTTATTCTTTCCTCTCTCTCTCTCTCTCTCTCTCTTGATTATGTTTATACTTTTGTTTCTATTGTTCACAATGTAGCTTCTTGGGTTCCCCCCGCCTTCTCTATCTATCTATGTAGCTATTTCTCTGTCTTTTTCTTCCTTTTTCTTTTTACTTTTTAAAGTTGTGATGATGTCAAGGAAACAAGTGCTTATGGTGGGAATCATCTTCTTTTTCTTTTACTTTTGATGGATCACCATGACTTTGAGCACTGATGTTCTGAATTTTACTGATTAAGGGGCGTGCCTTTTCTTTTCCTGTTGTGGGTGATTAAATTGATTAAATAGAACGGAATGACGAAACGGGGTTTATGTAGCCGACCTCATATAGTTGGGATAATGCTTCGGTGATGATGATGACCTTTGTGGATACAATTTACTATTGTTATCGAGGACTCTTCCTGGATGGTGGTTATGTTATCATGTCATGCATCTGTCATCTGTGCTGTTTGAGTTATTACGGGCTTAAGGCCTCTATGTCTTTCATCATCTCGTGGTACCTATTTTTCATGTTCACTGTGCAGTTTTTTTCGTTTAGAAACAAATACTGGAATGATGAACTTTCCAAAGCCAAAGGATCCATTTTTTCATTCTTCTCTTTTTTGGATGGTAACAGAACTAATGATTGAAATGTTTTGGTTTATTCTGTTAAACTCTACAAGAGCATCTTACTCTGCTTCCTCACTTTTCTGTCCTTATTCTCCCTGTTTGATCATGTGTGTCCTTACTTTTCATTTGATGTATGCTTGCAATTGGTTGTCTTGGGATCATGTAGGTGTCTATGGTGTTTACAAAAAAATACTGTAGCACTTGAACTTTTGAAACTAAACAATCCATTTGTTTCTTTTTTCTCATTCTTGGGCAGTGACAAATTAATGATTCAAAATATTTTGTTTACTTAGCTAAACTCTAGCTCTACAAGAGTGTCTTACTGTGCTTCCTCACTTAAGTTTCTCTCCTTACTCTTCCCACATGATTATGTGCATCCATCAGTAAGAGCGAGTCCTTATGTTTCACTTGATTATGAATGCTTGCAATTGGCTGTTGAAGTCTTGAAGAATCACATAGGTGTCTTTCAGTGCCTCTAGTGTGTCTTTTACAATGATGGATTTCACCAAAGAGAAATTGGGAAACAAAAAATGTAATTAAGATGGTGGCTCCAATAAATCCTGATTCTCTTGCGTAGGTAATCTAACTGTATAAAAGCAGAACAACTATTCTTCTGTCTTCACCTTTGAAGAATATTGTAATATCTTTCAGTTATTTATAAAAAAAAGAGTATTCCAATTTCCAACACTAGGTAAATATTCTTGAAGCATGTCTGTGTTTTAATCACAGCCTGAGGTATAATTCTGATTAAGACACATAGTAAGTGTTTACTCTTTTTATGTGTTTGACTTGGACACAGAGCAAATAAATAAAAGCATTTCTTGAATTCCTCCAATTTCTCCACTACTTTAAATTCTGATCTGATATGCACTAAATACTGTGATGTGATATTTAATCTATCTATTGTGAACTGGCAGATATCATATCAGAAAAGGATAGGGTTTTCAAAATCTAATCAATTCAAGTCATGCTGTAAACCAAGTATTGCCTCTTTCTTGAAGCTGGAGGGGCTTCAGGGGAAGCCTGCTTAGATGGCTGGCAGAGCCTTGAGAGCCTGTTCAGATCACTTGGGAAGAAAGAGGTAATATGCATCTTTTCAAAGCAAACCCTGACATTTTCCAAACAAATGCTTCTTGGAGATGCCAAAAGAGAAAAGAAAAGTAATGATAATGCGAAAGCTTGGAAATGTCAAAATGTTCCCATTATTTTTACCATCTTCCACTATTTGAAAACTTTGAGTTGTCACTTGATAGCATTTAGTCAACTGCTATTTAGCAACTTTGGAGATATGACCTCTTAAACAACTTTTAGGAAACAATTAATGTGGAAGCTACTTATCATATCTGCTCACCTATCATAAAATAGTGTTGTAATGCATGAAAATAAAATCTTTCACATTTGCTTTGTGATAGCATTAAGTAAGCTGTCACCTCATGGCTATTTTGGGTATCATTGAGATTGGTTATGATGCAACCTCTTAAGCCAATATGTGGAACACTTGGATAGATGGAAGAAGACACGTTGGCAGATGATATATTGGGTTTAAAGAAAGTGGTGGTGGATGCAGATGGAAAACTTTGCGATAGACTAAGGATTTTGGATGCATGTTTAGAGGGGATATTCCATGGAGGTGGTTAGGCGAGAACGAGGAGAGTCAATTTCTAAAGAGGAGGGTTGAGATTTCTGAAAGTGGGAAGGTGAACAATCATTCAGTTGGGGGTGGGACAAAGGTTGAAGATGAAGGCAAGTGTGGAATTTTAAAGGATTCAGGGGTGAAACCAGGGGAAGATTTTAATAGTTGGGTGGTAAAGTGATGGTTTTGGGGAATAGCAATGGTCGGGCCAAGTGTAAAACTTTTAAAAATTTTGGAGTGGGCTTTGCTGGTGGACCAGGCCTCTTCTTGTCTTTCTCCTCATATGTGTTTCTTACGTAGGGATAGTGTAGAGACTCTCTCACATTTACTAATATTTTGTTCCTTTGCACAATGTATTTGGGAGATTTTTTTAGGTTGGATTGGTTTGAAGGTGGGTTACTTAGGCTAAGGCTATGGATTTCTTCCCACCCCTTGTTTCGCAAGTGCATTTGCAAATGAATTGGCACATCTTTTTACCCACTGCAATCTCACTTCCATTCCTTGAGTTAGTCACTTCTATTGTCCTTGTTCATTGATATATGCCCGCATGCCCTCATCTTCCTTCCTTAACCATCCTATTACCACTTTTGAATCTCCTTCAATGACCAACCTATTGATACTTAGTTCCTTATCCCTTTCACACCCTCTATCAAAGCCAAAATTTCTGCTCTCAGTGAATTCCCAACACCAATTGGATTAGAAAATAAAGCTAAGACCGAGCCTTCCTCCAACCTAAAAACACTAGCAATCCCTGAAGGCCTTGGGTTACCTTCACTGCTGCTATCAAAATTTAGCTTGATAAAACCTGGACAAGGTGGAGACCAAATAGGGTGAACAACATGCTTCACTGCTTCTCTCCTTTTTAGCAAAAATTCTTTGGTTTCTTTCCTCCCAAATTGTCCAATAAACCACTGCCCTTGTACACCTCCACAATATTCTTCCCCTCTTCTTTGTCCAACTACCGATTTGGTGGGGGAATCCACCTGAAACCTAAGAGAGAAAGAAACCTAACCGAAATAGAAAAAACAAAGGGGTAGGATATTAACAAGTGGTAACAAGACTCACCATTGACTTTACAAAGAATACGCTAGTTAGGAGACATGCACCAAAAAGGCTTCTTTCTTTGAATTTCATCACAAGTGTTAATTCTTTCCAAGACTGTTTCCTAGCAAAGTGCCCCGACCCTTGGTGGAACTGGTTTCCCCCAAACCTCTTTAACAGGAAAAGAAAGTCCAAGACTAGAAGAAGGTTGTGTTAGGGCTTTGAAGAAGGATATACAAGTACAGGAGCCAAAGGGGGAGGGTGTCCAAATCCAAGAGTCCACCTTAGGGGGATCCAAGAAAACCTTTTGAATTATTTGATCAAAGCTGAAACATTGTCCACCTTTGATTCTCTTAGTCCTCATCTAAACCCCAAGTCCGAATTAAGCTTAAGCCCCAACCTAGAAGAAGACAAGAAAGTAGAAACAGGCTCATTTTTGTAGCTAGAAAGGGAATATAAAGAAGGGAATTGATCTTTAAGTGGTAAATCCCCCATCCAAACATGTTCCCAAAATCTTACCAAATTCCTAGACCACAAGTTATGCCTAATAAAGGGTAGGAAAGATGGAAGGATGGCATGAATAGCTTTCTAAGGTGCTGCACTAGTTGCTTGAGCCAAAACTCCTGCATCCCAACCATTAGCTGCCAACCTATGGATGATTAAAATCATCTTTGTCCATAGTTTATCCTTATCCATCGATAATCTCTACAACCAATTTTCTAGTAGAGCCATATTCCTCTTTTGAATATTCCTAATCCCTAAACCACAAGATCCCCTACTTCTACTTACCACTTCACATATTCCTTTCCAGGTTCCCACAAGAAATCCCTCATTAACTTCTCTAGGCTTCTACATATCCTTATAGGAATCTTGAAGACTGTAGGAAGTAGATAGGCAAATTGGCTAGGGTTGATTTGATCAAATCCTTAGAAAGAGAGATAATTCCTTTTCCAAGAGGTTAACCTTTTTGTAAACCTGTCCACCACTAGGTTCCAAAAATTCACATTTCTTGGGTTTCCTCCCAAGGGAATCCTAGATAATTCATTGGTCACTGGGAAACTTCACAGCCCAAATTGTTGCACACTCTAACACCTCTCTTTCATCCATATTGATACCCACCACACAACTCTTATTGAAATTAATTTTCGGATTTGACATCTTCTTAAACACTTGAATCACCACTTTCAAATTCCTCACCCAATTCGTATCATCTCCCTCACAAAATAAAATGGTGTCATTAGAAAATTGCAAATGGGTAATAGGCACTCTCTCCCTTTCCACTCTCCAACTTCTCACCAAACCCCTCAAATCTGCTCTCTTGATTAGGATGCCTAGTACATCAACTACTAAGGTGAATAATGAGATAAATGGTCTCCTTGTCTAATTCCTCTAATAGTTGGAAAGTGGTCAACAACTGTACTATTTACTAAAATTGAATAGGGACAAGTACTTGTGCAGCCTTTAATCCACTTACACCACTTATCTCCAAATCCAAAATTGCTCATCACTTCCAATAGGAAATTCCAGTCCGCCAAATCATATGCTTTCTCCAAATCAAGCTTACATATTACACCTTTCTTTTCAATTCTTTTCATC